CCCTGGGGGGTGATTTCTCGCTTTCTGTCTCTATGTCTCTGTCTGTCTGTCTGGCAAGCACACACGCCCTATAGTGAAACAAAAACCTCTCCAAAAAGAATGAACAGTTTCTCCTTCAGAATGCAAACCCAACTGGCAATAATTTTTTTATTGTAGGTGTTATTTGTGTACTTTCTATATTCCAGGCTTTTTTTTTTTCTTTGAGAGAGATTTTTGTTTTATGATGTGTGCACTCGCCAGAGAGACAGAGAGATAAAAAGCAAGAAATCACCCCCCAGAGGGGATGGCCACACCGTAATCCATTTTCTTCCACTCTCCTCTTGGAATCTTGGGCTTGCACATACACTTGCCTAGCTTGAGTCTTAAGCCACTGGGTCCGGGACTTGAATTGCATTCGACTACGTGGGAGTCCAGTGATAACATTACTTCATCTGCTGGTCCCATATGTCCCAGGCTTTAATAAGTTTAAACTGCATTTAGTAAGAATAAATAATAAGCTTAATTTGCTTAAATCATTTTTTGAAATTAATCCACATTAATTCTGATACAGACACTATCCTTGTTTTACAAATGAACAAACTGACTCATATAGGCCAATGAACTGTATGAAGTCACATGGTCACTAGATTCAATTTGCGTTCATTCAACTATGTTGCTTAGCAGAGAGAGAAAGATAAATCATGTAGATGCTATAAACACCATTCCACTCAGTGAATATATGGCGGAGAGACAGAGACTATGACAAGAGAGACGAGTGCCTCCCCAATGTTTCTTACCGCCTTTGTGATAAGAAAGCAATACATGCTGACGTAGTCAAGCACATTAGTGATACCCATAGAGGGATTTGAGAATACCTTTTAGGGTTTCTGGACTACTGACAAACAATAAAATACATGATCTGTGTGGCCAGAAAGTCAGATAAAGGACGACTTGGTTGATGTTCTAGAGAAAGTCGAAGACTTAATTGAGGACTGTAAGGAAGCATTAGTGAATGTATCAGTCTGAGTCCAATGAGGAGAGAGAAACTACACAGTCATTTCAGGAATCATTTAATATAGTTATTCACAGGCCAGTCCATAGCCCAGCAGTTAAGGGACCTGGGTCCCACATTGCTGACTACAGTTCAAATCTCAGCTCTGGCAGCTTGAAGAACATGCTGGCTCGAGAGGAGAATGGAGGAGAAGGGATTGCAGCATGGCCATCCCCCCAGGGGGTGATTTCTTGCGTTCTCTCTGTCTCTCTCTGTCTCTATGGCAAGCACATGCGCCCTATAGCAAAAATCTTTCTCTAAAGAGAAAAGAAAAAAAAAAAACATGCTGGGCACATATATGTGCATCTCCAAATCCTAACGGGATAGAAAAATGAAGGAGAGAGGGATTGCGGTGTAACCATGCCCCTTGGGGTGGGTGCTTTCTCTTACGCTAGTGCACATTGCTTCTGGCAATTAAGAAAAGAAGAATTATTCATTATACCTGGTGATTGGAGTAATGAAGGATTGGCTGGTAAGATGCAAAGGAAACTCTAGGTCCATCTATGGTGCAGACAGTTGGGCACCACCGTGGGATACTAGAGCCGTATGGGAGGCCCAGGTTTGAATCCCAGGTTGACCTGAATGTACACCTGTGATCCTGGATAGCTGGAAGATGGCTCGAGGTATGGTAAGGCCCTGTTGAGGATATTTGATTGTCCCTGTCTCTGGCTATCTCTCTTTCTGTCTCACTCTCTCATGGAAGAAATTTAAAATAATAAAACTTGGGACCAGTAGATGGCATGGTGGTTAAGGCACTGGACTCCTACGTGACTGACTGCAATTCAAGTCTCAGACCTGGTGACTTACTTTCTCACTTTCCCTCTCTCTCATCAAATTAAAAAGTAATGATAATAAATGAAATAAAACCTTAAAATAAGGAAGAAGGAGCCAGCAGTTAGCATAATGGCTATGTTGCTGGCCTCCCACGTAGTCGACCATGATTCGAGTCCCAGACCCGGTGGCTTAAACTCATGCCGGGTGCGTGTGCGTGCGTGCCCAAGATTCCGAGAGGAGAATGGAGGAGAAGGGATTGTGGCATGGCCATCCCCCCCTGGGGGGTGATTTCTCGCTTTCTGTCTCTCTCTGTCTTTCTGGCGAGCGCATGCACCCTATAGCAGAAAACCTCTACAAAAAAAAAAAAAAAAGGGAAGAAAACTCAAAATAGTATAGAAGCAGCAAATGTCTACCTCTCTGGCTAAGCTTAGGGGACCAGGGTGGATCTAGATCTTGTTTGAGAGGACACAACCGTAGCTTATTGAAGGGCAAAGGGGAAGGTGTTCACTGGACACCTCACCAGAGACACTCTTATAAAAGCCCTGGGTTGGGACGGACGGAGTGTTAGAGAAGCTACCTGTGCTGGAGGAGTTGGACAGGAGCTGCCTGTCGTTGGGCACTAGGGGAGGCGTGTGTCTCTTCAGTGCTCTCTTTTAACATCGCTTCACACCATGCTTGCTGGTAAAGGAAACATATTTAAAGGCTTTGGGTTATTTTTGTAGAGCTGGCAGTGAAAGTTGAATTGGAGCTGAAAGGCAGTAAGTTAATTACTGGCACAAAAAGTTAAAAAGATTATAAAAAGAGATAAAAATCATCTCCGGTTGGCCCAGCCTTCATGGCACAGCGGTAGCATGCCAGACAGCAGAGCTAGAAGCTGCGTGCTGGCTGCACCTGGAGTCCCTGGCCTACTTGGCCTAAAAACATGCTGGGCACATGCACATGTGCCCTGGATCCCGGAAGGCTGGAGGACTGGAGGAGGGCCATGGGATTGCAGTGTGACCGAGCCTTGTGGAGGATGCTTCTCTTTCTCTCTTATGCAAGCATACATTCTATCATGAATTAAAAAGAAATTATAGGGACCAGCAGTTAGCGTAATGGCTATGTCACTGGACTCCTACGTAGTCAACTGCGGTTCGAGTCCCGGACCCGGTGGCTTAAAACTCACGCCAGGCGCGTGTGTGTGCGTGCCCAAGATCCTGAGAGGAGAATGGAGGAGAAGGGATTGCGACGTGGCCATGCCCCCTGGGGGGGTGATTTCTCACTTTCTATCTCTCTGTCTCTGTCTGTCTGGTGAGCGCACGCGCCCTATAGCAAAAACCTCTCAAAAAAAAAAAAGAAAAAGAAATTATAAAAATGATTTATAGTCAGTGAAGATGGTGACCAGGAGTCAAAGGATGAACAAGTTGGATTCTTCCTGAAATTAAGCAAGCAATAAAACTTTGGCATGATTTCTGAATTCAGTCATTCTGAAACAAAATTTCAAGTAGTATCGACAACACAATTTTTATCTTATACATAAACTGCAGAATCTAAACCCTGTCTAAGAAAATATGTGAGAGCGCCAAGATTTGAATTCAGATAATTTTGATATTCTAGTTCTATTACACCTGGAACATACCATACACTGCCTCTTAGAAAATGAACCTAGTATTAAACTATGATAGGAACTCCTTAGAATGCATCTACCAAATTGCTGTATACTCAGTTACAGACAGATTTCTAACTGACCTCTGCTACTTCATCTTTATTTTATTTCTCTGGATTTTCAGGAAGTGTCTCAAAAGTACTTGGTGACTAGTTTCAAAAAGCTTGTGGAAAATAGAATTAAAGTATGAGTTTAGGGCCAGCTGGTATGGTGGTTACGACAGCTGAATCCCTCATGGGTGATGGTTCGATTCAAGACCCAGCCAGGCCTGGCAGCTTGAAAAACATGCTGTGAGTGTGTGCATGCCTGCCCAAAATCCTGAAAGAGGAGAGAAATGGAGAAGGGATTGTGGTGTGACCATCCCCCATGGGAGTGCTTTCTTCCCCCCATCTCTCTCTCTGTCTTTCTCCAGTAGACATACGTGCCCTCTGGCAAATACACACACACACACACACACATACATATGAGTTAATTTTGGTGTAAAATTATTTTTGAAATCTCTGCATAGTTTTTTTCATAGTACATATTTTCCATGTTTTTTTTTTTTTCTGGAGAAATTTTAGCTATAAGGTGCATATACATACTCACTGGAGAGAAGGACAGTGAGAAATCACCCTCTAGGGGTGATGACTACACCGCAATCCCTTCTGCTCCGGGATTTTGGGCATGTACATACATACATCTGGTGTGAATTTCAAGCTGCCAGGTCTGGGATGCACACCACTCTCACTTTAGGCCATGTGACAGTCCAGCAATGTAACCATTACACCATCTGCTGATCCCTCCATGAACTTTTTGAAGACTCCCCCTCATACTTTACCTGACTTTAATAAGGATAAATTTCTTCTGGTAGTTTTTTTTTTTTTGAGAAGTTTTTGCTATAGGGCATGTGCCCACAAAGACAGAGAGAGACAGAGACAGAAAGCAAGAAATCACCTCCCCAGGGGGATGGCCACGCCACAATCCCTTCTCCTCCATTTTCCTCTCGCGATTTTGGGCATGCATGCACATGCACCCAGTGTAAGTTTAAGCCACCAGGTCCAGGACGCAAACCGCCGTTGACTACATGGGAGTCCAGCGGCATAGCCATTATGCTAACTGCTAGTCCCTGATAGTGTACTTTTAACCCGGGTAAATATAAACCCTTTCTAAGCTTAGACATGATACTCAGTTGGTGTGTTTCATCTATGGAGCAGACATAGAAGCCCTCCAACTGGGTTAATGTGTTTTTTTTTTCTTTATTCATGATAGAGTATATATGTATGTATGTGAGAGTGAGAACGAGAGAGAGAGAAAGAAATGAGTACCCTCCACAGGATCGCCTGTGCATGTGAGAGTGAGAACGAGAGAGAGAGAGAGAAATGAGTACCCTCCACAGGATCGCCTGTGATCCCCTCCCTCCAGTCTTCCAGCCCATTGGATCCTGGGGGCTTGTACATGTGCCCATCATGTTTCAGGCTGACCGGGCTAGGGATCTGAACTAGAATCACCTTGTGGGATCCGGCTTCTCTTGAGCAGCGCACTACCACTGTGCCATGGAGTGCCCCTAAGGTATATTTTAAGAAGACTTGGAATTAGGTAATCTTCCATAGCATCCTTTTATTTTACTCATTAGAGCCGTTATAACCAAGAGTTTCTTGTAATTTTTCAACAATTATTCTGGAGATTACGTATTGATCTTTGACACAAATATGTTCTAAAGTTAGGTCTTTTTTTCCTTTTTTAATTTGCCCCCAAAATCACATCCACTGTAGTTTTAGATTAATTAATTTAAACCTTTTTTTTTTTCCTTTTCTGGTTTGTCATTTTGATATACAGAATTAGCTTTGGAATAATACCTGTTTTTATTTTTCAGAAACTGCATAAAATTTTTTTCTGTGTTACCTCAGAGATTGCCTATTTATTGTTGGTTCCTGATGTTTTCCAGAATCTCTGAGCAAAGGCTTCATGGTTTTGACTTCATGGAATTAGCTGAATCCACAGTGCTCTGTGCCAAGAGGAAATGGCTTTAAATATGCTTCAATGAAGTAGCAGGAATCTGCAACTCTTTCTATTTTGGTAGAAATGCAGTATTATTATAGACCCAGTGAGATTAATTGACTTGGCCAATTCTTACTGTTGATAATGTGTCCTCATTTCCATCATTTGTGAACTAGAAATAAAGACCCCGCAGACAGGGCCATTGAAGGATTATATTAAATGATGTCACAGAGAAGTTCACAGTACATCACAGGCACTGAATAAATACTGGTTTTCTCTTCTTTCTTCCATAGCATTTTGTTTTCTAGAGAGGATTTTACATTTAGTGTAGAAGCAGCACTGGCATTTAAGAAGCTTGGACTTTCTTCTTAACTGTATCTCCTTATATGACTGTCTGAACTGTTTTGCTTTTTGTCTTAGCCTTAAATTGAACTCCCAAAGAATATCAACCTATTATTTATTTTCAGTTATAAAATTTGGTGGCCTCTTTATATTCCATTCAGATTGTCTAAAGATACTGCAGTTATCCTGTCAACACCTGTAATTGTTACATGAATTTTTCTCTTTTTTCATTTGCCATAGCATCTGTGTGCTTGCCAGAGAGACAGGCAGAGAACAAGAGAAGGAAAGTGAGAAGTCAACCCCCAGGAGGGATGGCCATACCTCAGTCCCTTCTCCTCTATTCTCTTGGGATTTGGGACACACACACACACACACACACACACACACACACACATTGTGATTTTCAAATCGTTGGGTCTGGGACTCAAACCACGGTTGGCCATATGAGAGTCCAGAACCCTAACTATCATGCCACCTGCTGGTCCCTATATAAGATTTTAAAAATTAAATCTTGCAGAAGTAATTAAAAACATTTGCCTTAGGACCAGCAGTTGGTGTAATGGCTATGTCTTTCTGGTGAGTGCATGCGCTCTATAGCAGAAACCTTTCAAAAAAAAGTAACAAAACAAAAACAAAAAACATTTGCCTTTTCCATTATAAATACTATTGAGACCATCTGTGCAAGTCTGCATCCCTACATCTGGCTCACTCAGTGTGAGTACTTAAGGTATGGAGTGACTCTCGACCAGAGAGTGCTAGCTTGAAGTTGACTGATTCAGCCACTTCCAGAAGAAGGCAGTAGATCAGGGCCTCTAGAAACATACCTTACTGTGCTTATCCTACCAGTTGCTATAGCAAAGAAGATTAACATACAAATAAAACCAAAGTTCAGAGGCCAGCAGATGGTGCAGTAGTTAAGGCACTGGACTCCCTCATGGCCGACCATGATTTGTGTCCTGGATCTTGTGGCTTGCTTCCTTACTTTCCTTCTGTCTCTCTCTCTCTCTCTCTATTTCTAGTCAAATTAATAATAATGATAAATACAATTAAATAAATAAATTTTTTAAAGTTCATATTTCAGTTTGTATTTTCAAAGACTTAAAGTTTGGCTTTATTAAATAGATCCACTTATAACTGAAGAGCAGAACAGAAGCCAGTAAAAATGAGTTCTGGGGACCAGCAGATGGCATCATAGTTGAATTGCTGGACTCCTACATAGTTGACCACAGTTTGAGTCCCAGATCTGGTGGCTTAAAACTCCGGGCATGTGTGTGTGTGTGTGTGTGTGTGTGCCCAAAATCCTGAGAGGAGAAGGGATTGCATTGTGATCATCCCCGTGAGAGGTGATTTCTCGCTTTCTGTCTCTGTCTCTCCAGTGAGCACATGCACCCTATAGCAAAAATCTCTTTTAAAAAAATGATCTCTGAACACCTCTCTAGTTTCTTAGAGCACTGTATTTACATTTACCTTCATCCTTTAAACAACTGTATATGAGAAATTATAAATAATTAGCATTTGTATAGCACTTCAGTCTTTCAAAGTAGTGTTATATTCATTTCTCAGTCCTCAAAGCAGTCCAGAGCAGTACTTTTTTTTTTCTTTTTTTCTTTTTGGGGAGGTTTTTGCTATAGGGCCTGTGTGCTTGCCAGAAAGACAGAGACAGAGTGACAGAAAGCGAGAAATCACCCCCTGGGGGGATGGCCACGCCACAATCCCTTCTCTTCTATTCTCCTCTCAGGATCTTGGGCATGCACGCACACACGCCCAGTGTGAGTTTAAGCCACCAGGTCCGGGACTCAATCTGCAGTCGACTACTTGGGAGTCCAGCGTCACAGCCATTACGCCAACTGCTGGTCCCCAGAGCAGTAATCTTACCTTCATTTTATAGCTCTTGAGACTGTGTCTGAGAGATTAATAGTCCCAGATCACACAGTAAAAAATCACTGGGGCTGAGACTTAACCTTATAACTCCAAACTTCATTACCTTCTAATGCTTAATAAAGTTGTTTTCCTATTTTATATGTAAGAAAGTTAAGGCATTGGCCAGTTAAATGATTTATCCAAAGTTTTAAGCATAGGTTAAAAATAAAGGTATAGATTTCTACTAAATGTGTGGAACAGGAAAGTGTGCTGTAAAGGAAAATCAGAACATTCTTTTCCTTAGTCCTTAACTTGCCATTTATCAAGACAGTTAGATGTGCAGCTCCCTGTATAGATGCTGGGAGGCGTGTTAGAGTTTGCACAGGTAGGTTTGTAAGATAGTCTGGTAGGGGCCAGACACTGCATAGCAATAAAATGTGTTGCTTTGTGAGGCAGTCCCGCATGGGGACATCCCTGGTTCAAGAGTAAAGATCTTCCTTAGTATGCTGGGTACACACTGCCCATGGTCCGAGGCTGGATGAAAGCTGGGGGTGGATCATGTTGTCAAGACCCTATTAGGGGTGCTGGGCAGCAGTTAGCGTAATGGCTATGTTGCTGGACTCCCATGTAGTAGACCATGGTTCCAGTCCCGGACCTGGTGGCTTAAACTCATGTCGGGTGCGTGTACGTGCATGCCCAAGATCCCAAGAGGAGAATGGAGGAGAAGGGATTGTGACGTGGCCATCCCTGCTGGGGGGTGGATTTCTCACTTTCTGTCTCTCTGTCTCTCTCTGTCTTTCTGGAGAGCACACGCGCCCTCTAGCAAAAACCTCTCCAAAAAAAAAAGACCCTATTAGGTAGGGGTGCTCATTCATTCTCTCTTTGCCACTCTCTCTTTCAGAAGACGTGAATAAATAAACTTGAAAAAAAAAAAAAAAGATGACCTGATAGACACGTATAGTCTCCAAGGACTGTTAGTTTCAGACCAAATGAAGGAGCTGGGAAAGCACTATTTTTGTAGGGACCGAAAATAGTCAGGGACCATCTCCAGCTTTTTTTTGTCCCCTCTCATTGCAGAGATGTTGGCAATGTGGTTGAAGCCATGTACGGGGACCTCCCTCCTCCGATTATGCTAATTGGACACAGCATGGGTGGTGCCATTGCAGTCCACACAGCGTCATCCAACCTGGTGCCAAGCCTCCTGGGTCTGTGCATGATCGATGTCGTGGAAGGTAAGTTTTCTTAGTACTGACCAAGTCAGAATCGTTGACTCATAGGAGGCATCTGTGGTAGATCATCTTTCTTTAATTTATTGTCTGTTTCACTAATTTCAAAGACCTTTTTGCCTTTATATATTTTTAAAAAGAATTATTTAATTTTATTGACTATTATTGTTTTTTAATTTGAAGAGAGAGAAAGTGAGAAAGCAAACCCCCAGGTCTGGGACATGAACCATGGTCGGCCATGTGGAAGTCCAGCACCTCAATCACCATGCTATCTGTTATGTTATTTATATGTTAGGTAATAATTTTTCCATGCTATCAGAAACTCTTCATTAGCAACTTTTTAATGGCTGCTTAATTTTTCAATTTTATCTAATTTTTTAAAAAGGAGTTGCTCTGTCTTTCATGACCTAGCCTCAGAAGTCATATTACTGCTATCAGTGTGGGATGCCGTAGAAGGGAACGAACACAAGGAGGCACAAGTTACCTTGGGCCTTTTTGGAAGCTGGCTATCACATTAGCCTTCTGAATTTCCTTAAGCTGTATCTGTATTTTCCCCCAAGCACTGTGCATCAAGGGAAGATATATAAAGTTGACTTAATAAGTATAAATGCTCAAAATAAGTTAAATGCTGTGGTTAAAATTTTTGTTTCACATTTAGGTACAGCCATGGATGCACTTAATAGCATGCAGAATTTCTTACGTGGACGTCCGAAAACCTTCAAGTCTCTGGAGAATGCTATTGAGTGGAGGTAACCCAAATCTATGATGTCTTTAAATGTTAGATTATAACTTTATCTTTTTTTGTTAGCTCAAGTACCAAGTTCAAAGGAAGAAATTTTCAATTTCTAAGTTTATTGTCATATTAGTATGTGAGGAAACATTTATGTTAAGAGGATGTTTTCTGACTATTTTAAGTATTTCAGATGTGGCTCAGTTGTTTAGAGCCCATCCACTTTCCAGTCCTCTCTGTTACCTTCTGGAATCTCAGTAATTACGGGTCATCTCTGATCTGTTTCTGCTAAGACAAGAGCTTGGACTAGGTGGTCTCTAAGGCCTCTTCCACCTCTGAGGCTCCATGAGGCTCTAGATTCACTTCCTGTGTTCCAGATAAAATGGTGAAAAAAGAGAGGATGGGTGTAGGTTCTCTTCTCCAGAATCTGTTTGAGTTTGAGGTAAATAAAAACCCTGTGGGTAAAATATTTTTATAAAAATCACTGACAGAATTGGCTGTGTCTTCCACTTAAGGAAAGGCTGTTCATTCATGAATTTGTTCATTAAACCATCAATCATTTGATTAAATATTTACTAAACACTTATTTTGTGCTTAATAGTGAACATTCAAAAATCAGTACAATACTGACTTTCCCCACAAAGAGATAATTTGGGGGCTATTGTATCTTGACCTTCCTGAGGCTAGACCATGGCATAGTGATAGTGTATGATGCTCTGTGAGAAGGTTCCCAGTTCAATTCTGGAGACCTCTCAAAATATACCAAGCACGGGTGTGTGCCCATGATCGGGGGCTGGCTGAAAGTCAGGAGTGGATCATGGTGTCCAGACTCTTCCTGAGATCTTCCATGTAGGTCCAGCATCACAGAGTATTGTGTTACTATGGACCACTGTCTGACCCCAACAACTCTCTTGAGGTGTGCTATTTAGGAAACAGAAACACAGGATAGTAGCTAGTAGTGAATGTGGTATTGGAAGTGTTTTTAAAGGCTAAATAATAACATATAGTATGTTTATGACATCTGCTAAAGAAAAAAAAATAATGACACAGAAGGGAAGACAGAGTAACTGAAGGAAACAACATCCTTTCAGAATCAAGAAGGTATATGAACTAGAAGCCAAGTTTGACCTTGAATAAGAATGAAGATACTTGGGACCGGTAGATGGCATAATGGTTACGTCACTGGACTCCCACATGGCTGACCGCAGTTCAAGTCCCAGACCCAGTGGCTTGAAACTCACACCGGGCGCGTGTGTATGCATGCCCAAAATTCCAAGAGGAGAATTAGAGGAGGAGGGACTGTGGCATGGCCATCCCCTTGGGACGTGATTTCTTGCTTTCTTTTTCTCTGACTTTCCAGCAAATGGATGTGCCCTATAGCAAAAATCTCTCTTAAAAGAGAGAGAGAGAGGGAGAGAGAGAGAGAGAGACTTATTGAAAAGGCATCAAGGCAGAGTATATGGCTACAAGTACTGGTGGATTTATAGATTTAGTTGGTGGTTGAAAGATGAGGTAGTAGTTCTGATTGCTTTTGTTTATTACTGAGGTAAGAAATGTCATTATCTAAGGGGTGGGAGTTTTTTAATTTTTGCTTGATTTTATTTTTATAAGCGCAAAAATCAGATTTAAAGAAATACGTCCTCTGGACTAGCCCTGTAGAACAGTGGTTAAGCCCTGTGCATAGAGAACTGGATCCCACATGGCTGACCACAGTTCAAATCCTAGCTCTGATAGCCTGAAAAGCATGCTGGGCACCTGCGTATGTGTGCCCAACAGGATAAAGGATTAGGCATGACCATGCCCCATTAGGAGATTTTCTTTCTCTGTTTCTCTGGTGAGCGCATGTGCTACCTGGCAATTAAAAAACAAAAATAAGAAAGAAGCCTGTTTTCTTATTGCCTTGCTTCAGACAGTGTTTCCAGTTCCACCTGAGATACGCAGTCATGTTGCTTTGCTCCTAGATGTACTTAGGTAAACAAGTGCTGGGTGACCAGTCTAGTGAGAAAGCTTAAGTAAGCCCTCTAGCATGGCATGCAGGGCCCTCCAGGAGCCAGCTCCTGCATACTGATCCTACTTCCCCTTTGTTGGACCCTGCTTCTCCTTGGACTCAGCTCTCTAAAATCATCATCCTGCTGACTTTCCCATTACTGTACCTTGTTCTCAGCGTGTTCTCTGCCTAGAATGTTCTAACCTCACTCTTTTATTTTCTGGTTAACTTCTCTTCAGTCCTAAGTTCAGTTGGGACCTTTACGAAGCGTTATCTGCCTCCTCATTCAGAATAAAATACTTCCTTTGAACCATGACTTATTATATTAACATCATCTGTTTGTATTTCTTTCTGTCTACTGAGCTGTGAGCTCCTTGAACATAGGTCCGGCACATAGCACCTTCTAGGTACATATTTGCAGCACCGAAATGACTATAGTATCTTTATTTAATTTTCACCACCTGGCTTACTGCCTCAATAGCCAAGGGATAAGTCATGGTAATCTCCATAGTGAGCAACATCAGTAACCACAACCTTTGATTCAGTTCATGAAATCTACCGATTTTCACATTTGATTCTAATAATGTGATAAGATAGATGCTAAATAACCTCCTCTCTTCCTCTCACTTTTCTCTCCTAGTGTGAAGAGCGGCCAGATTCGAAATCTGGAGTCTGCCCGTGTCTCCATGGTTGGCCAAGTCAAACAGTAGGTCTTATTTTTTTCCCCTTTGGGTTGATAAGCGGCTGAAAGATGGTGAGGAAAGGACAGATTACTTCTGCTGTCTTATACCTATCTTCCCATCCTAGCAAATGCCTTCTTTATGTTAGGTCCTTTTACAGGTGAGCTCAGTTGGACTGAACATGAAGACTTTCTTTCTTTCTTTTTTTTTTTTTTTTTTTTTTTTTTTTTTTTTTTTTTTTTTTTTTTTTTTTTTTTTTTTTTTTTTTTTTTTTTCTCTTCTTAGAAGAGATCCCAAAGCCAGCTAGTGTCGTCTATGTAATACTGGATTATTTTAGCACAACTCTGGGTTTAAAAAGTAAAGAATCTCCATGTATAAACCTTGAAAATTATGTCTACTTTGGTGTTGGCATCTGTGGTTCATTCTGGTAACAATCTTCTTCTAAGGCCAACCTGGTTGTGAAGAAGTTATAATATAAAAACTCTGGCAGAAAGAGTGAAAGCCAGATTCTAAGAGTGAGCTAAAATTAATTAGCCCAATTGATCTTTCTTAGCACTTTTATTTTTAAAAACCTAGATGTGAAGGAATTACAAGTCCAGAAGGCTCAAAATCTATAGTGGAAGGAATTATAGAGGAAGAAGAAGAAGATGAAGAAGGAAGCGAGTCAGTGAATAAGAGGAAAAAGGAAGATGACATGGAGGTGGGTGAAGACCTGCATTCTTGGCAACGTGGAGTAGGGAATGGTTCAAAGCATGTGGAGAGGGAGGGAGATGGCATTGTTCTTTTGTCTACCATGAAATACTTACAGGGGTAAAGATCTATCATAAGAGGTACTTAGGTTAACTACAAGACTGTTGCTAGATCTGACCAATTGGAACGTAAAACTCACAGAAGATACCCTGTCTTCAAACAGACTGATTTCTCATCAGGATCTTTCTCACTTCTGTACTTGTATTCCTGTGGTTGCTCTCATGAAAAGAAAAAAAAAAATCCCATTCCCTACCCATCTACTGTAAGCCCATCCAGATTTTACCCATCTTTTAAGGTTATCTCTTTGGGGAGCTTTCTGATCTCAGGTGATGTCAGTCCCTCTCCAGTATAGCACTAAAGGTCTGTATAACACAGCTTGGCACTTTTCTTTTTTAAAGTTGTGCCTGTAAGCCATGGAGCTGATTTTCGTAAGTCACATCCAGAACTACTGTGGTCTCTTCCTAGTCATCTCTAGCATGCTAATCCATGCCATCCTCTAATTGCACAAGAATTGTACATAAAGTAACCAAAAAATACTCAGGTATTTTTAGGGGGAGAAACTGATATTCTGCATGAATTTCCCTTTGCAGTTAGCTCAGGTTTTAAGTAAGCAGTAAGTGTTCAGTGGGGACTTGCGTAGCATTGATTAGAGGGTAATGGTGGAGAGGGGAGCTTTCGGGGAAGGTTAAGCAATTGTGAACAGCAGACTTTCTTGGATGGTTATAAACATCTTCCTATTGCCAGGCAGTGGACTTGATGTATATCCCACACTCCTTTGCATTTGGAGAGGCTACTGTTAGCGAGGAGGAAATTAACCTTTTTTCAACGGTGTGTCATTTAGTGAGGCTCTTCTTGCCATCCTTTAAATCAATCAGCAGAGTAAAGCTTTGTACCTCCTTAGATTTTTTTTTTTTTTGGGGGGGGGAGAGGTTTTTGCTACCTGGCGCGTGTGCTTGCCAGACAGATAAACAGAGAGACAGAAAGCGAGAAATCACCCCCCCGGGGGGATGGCCCCACCGCAATCCCTTCTCCTCCATTCTCCTCTCAGGATCTTGGGCACACATGCAAACGCGCCCGGCGTGACTGGGTCTGGGACGTGAACTGCGGTCGACTACATGGGAGTCCTTCGACATAGCCATTACGCTAACTGCTGGTCCCCCTCCTTAGATTTTTTTTTTTTT